ATATATATATATATATATATGTGTGTGTATATATATAAAACACAGTGCAACAGAATGGTGTACAATTCCAGATTTAGAATTAGATATTAGCCATTTCTTTTAGCAAGAAATATTAAAATTGATGTGCCATTTATTTTACAGGTTAAAGCAGTTACTGGAACAGGAGAAAGCTTACCAAGTGCGGAAAGACAAAGAATATACCAAGAGACTTAATAAAGTTAGAGATGAATTGGTAAAGTTAAAGTCATTTGCACTGATGCTAGTGGATGAAAGACAAATGCACATTGAACAGCTTGGTCAACAAAGCCAAAAGATACAAGACCTTACTGCACAGCTTCAAGAAACAGAGGCAAAATTGAAAGCAGCCTGTGCTAAAGCCAACGAAGACAGCCAGAAAGTTATTAAATTGGAATTAGAACTTGAGCACAAATTCTCCAAGCATTCTCAAGAGCATGAAGAAATGTCTACGAAACTGGTCACTCAGGAGTCCAATAATCGTCAGCTCCGACTTAAGTTGGTGGGTCTCAATCGTAAAATTGAAGAATTGGAAGAAGCAAATAGGAATCTTCTAAAGGCTGAGGAGGAGTTGAAAGAACTAAGGGAAAAAATAGCCCAAGGAGAATGTGGAAATTCAACTTTAATGGCAGAAGTAGAGAGCTTACGAAAGCGAGTTTTAGAAATGGAAGGAAAAGATGACGAGATAACAAAAACAGAAACACAGTGCAAAGAACTACAAAAGAAGCTCCATGAAGAAGAACATCAGAGCCGGGAGCTAAAGCTGGAAGTGGAAAAACTACAGAAAAGAATGTCTGAATTGGAAAAATTAGAAGAGGCTTTTATGAAAAGTAAAGCTGAATGCTCTCAGCTTTATGTAAAGCTGGAAAAAGAAAAAGCACAAGCAAGAGAGCTGACCAAAGAAGTTGAATTGGTGAAGACTCGAGTTAAGGAATTAGAATCAGTAGAGGGAAGACTAGAAAAGGCAGAGCACAGTTTAAAAGATGATTTAACAAAATTGAAATCTTTCACTGTGATGCTTGTTGATGAAAGAAAAATCATGATGGAAAAGATAAAACTGGAGGAAGGAAAGGTTGGTGATCTAAACAGGAATTTAAAAACTGAACAAGGTAAAGTTATGGAGGTAACAGAGAAGCTTATAGATGAAAGCAAAAAACTTTTGAAAATGAAATCAGAGATGGAAGAAAAAGTATCTAACTTGACTAACGAGCGAGATGAGTCCATCAGCAAACTGAGAAGTGTGGATGAGAAAAATTGCGAATTAAGTTGCAAAGTGGAACTGCTCATGAAAAGAGTGGAAAATATGGAAGTTTCTGAAAGGGAAGCTGCACGTAGCAGGGCAAAGAAGAATTTTGAGCATGTGCATCATGAAGACAACAAGACAAAGGAGCTGCTTTTAGAAATTGAGAGACTCAGAAATCGTCTTCAACAGCTGGAGGTGGTTGAGGGAGACTTGATGAAGACAGAAGATGAATATGATCAGCTAGAAAGAAAATTTAGAACTGAGCAAGACAGAGCTAATATACTTTCCATGCAGCTCGAAGAGCTGAAAAGCCAGGTAGCTAAGAATAAAGCCATTGAGAAAGGAGAAGCTGTAAGTCAAGAGACAGAACTTAGGCACAGAATCCGAGTAGAAGAAGTTAAGAACAGAGACCTGAGAGCAGAGGTACAAGCACTTAAAGAAAAGGTTCATGATATGATGAACAAAGAAGACCAGCTTTCACAGCTTCAAGTTGATTATTCAGTCCTGCAGAAAAGGTTTATAGAGGAAGAAAATGAAAACAAAAATATGGGACAAGATGTTCTGAATTTGACAAAAGAGTTAGAGTTATCAAAACGATACAGCCGAGCTATAAGGCCCAGCATGAATGGGAGAAGAATGGTAGATGTCCCTGTGACATCTACAGGTGTACAGACAGATGTAATGAGTAATGAATCAGTTGAGGAAGAAACCCCAGCAGTGTTCATTAGGAAATCCTTCCAAGAGGAAAATCATATTATGAGTAATTTAAGGCAAGTTGGACTTAAAAAACCAGCAGAAAGGTCACCTGTTTTGGAGAGGTACCCACCAGGATCCAATGAGCTCAATATGCGTAAATCATGGATTCCCTGGATGAAAAAAAGAGAAAATGGCACTCCGGTCACACCGGAAAGAGCAATCCGTCCAAATGCTAGCCCAGGGCACCATGGTGAAGTGTTCCTTTCACCAAAACAAGGACAACCTCTTCATATAAGAGTAACACCAGACCATGAAAACAGCACAGCTACTCTGGAGATAACAAGCCCACCTTCAGAGGACTTTTTTTCAAGTACCACAGTCATACCAACTTTAGGCACTCAGAAACCAAGGATTACAATTATTCCTTCCCCAGCTGTAATGAGCCAGAAAGTTAAAGGTGTTGGCAGTCCCATAGCCCCAGAAAGGGCAATGTCCCCTGTGACAATAACTGCTTTCTCACGGGAAAAAACTACAGAAGGTGCCAAACCCAACTTTGGGGACAGACCTACATCACCAATTCAGATATTCTCAGTATCAACATCTGCTGCATCTCCAGAGATATCTGTGTCACCAGATGCACACGAAATGACTATGGGTCGTGCTGTATTTAAAGTTACCCCTGAAAAACAGACTGTGCCAACTCCCATTAGAAAATACAATGCAAATGCCAATATAATTACAACAGAAGATAATAAAATTCATATTCATTTAGGCTCTCAGTTTAAAAGAAATCCTGGCAGTTCCTTAGAAGGAGCCACCCCTGTCATAACTGTTAGACCTTTAAATGTTGCTACAGAAAATAAAGAGGTTGCAACTGGCACAGTGCTTCGATCTCCTAAGACCAACCTGTCTGCCAGATCTACCACGAATAAAGTCACCAGCTCTATTACTATAACTCCTGCCACAACATCTTCAACACGTTCTACCCAATCAGTGGTGAGTATTGAGCAGTGTAATCTATTAAAGGACAAGTAAACCTAACATGTGGTTTTAGCAAGTAGTAATTAGTCACATTTAACTGAACTGTAATGTTGAAGAAGTTTTAAATTAGTAAACTACAAATAATGCACACGCACAGGTATATAGTTGGTACAAGTAATGTAGGCTGATGTAACTTTTGAAGTGTTTACATGATCAAATATGCTTTTCTATAGGATTTTATGGCTAAGAAGGTACTTTACCTATTATATATGTTAAAACTGAGGGCACGTGATTTAAGAACAATATTTTTTTATCTATCTACATAAGGAAAAACTATAGTTTTCAGTGGCAGTCTGTAGGTTTAATTACCTTCATAAAAATATTGTCTCAAAGGCCATGCTTGTGCAAGGTATAGTTAGGCATGTTAACGTTGAACTGCAAGCAGATGTTAAAAACACCATTTAATCCAGTTTTGTATTCATCAACATTTTACTAAACCTATTTTTATATAGAACTGGTTTAAAGCCTATCTCTGACAGAAACCTTAGGTTCCATTTTGGTTGGAGTGGGAAAGGGTTAAGGGTCTATCAGTGTTTACTTTGCAATCTATAGTGTTGATTTACTAAAGGCAAATAGGCAATAGAATTTGCACTTTGCATGGGATGTTTCCCCTTAGTTTAGTAAATGAAGTGAAGCTCTGCGTTTTTTAATTATCCTCGCACGTAATTGGGTATTCCCGATGGAAGCTAAGGGAAACGTCCCCTGCAAAGGGCAAATTCCCTTGCAAAGTCAACTGCCTATTTGCCTTTAGTAAATCAACCCCTGTACCTTCCTGTACTGCTGAAAACCATTTCCCCCATTTCTTGCAGGTGTAGAACAGGGACAGGAACTAAGGGAAAATCTACAGACAGAAATAAAATCCAGAGATAAATTCCAACTTTTTCCCACTCCATCCCAGACAGAAAATTGGCTCCAGCTAAAAGAGAAATAAAGCCACACCTTTTTTTTTGGACTATGCTTCTCTTTTGGGTCACAGGAGTACATTTACTAATATACTCCTGTAACCCAGATTTAGCAGATAGCAGGCTTATGCCAGCTATTAACTGACAGGGCACAGCCACACTGTGGTCGAGAATGATCCCAACAATATTGTCCGGCTTCATCCAGGCTGCCTGATTGACAGCTGTCTCTGCCTCTCTGAGCACAGCTAAGAGCCAGCAGTGCCAACCTCCTCCCCTGTCTGCAGCTGTAGCCAGCACAAGAGAAGCAAAAGGGATGGAGGAATCCCTGCAGAGGACAGTGACTGACAGTCACTACCCTCAACTGGGAGCAGAGACCAAGAGATGACTGATCAGCAGTGAGGTGATTGGTCAGCTCCCAGTCTTGGAGTTGATCCTGGATCAGGTTCTATTGCACTGTAATCTGCAGGTCTGCAAGACCTGTCAATGCTCTCTCGCAGTGATGTCTATTTTACAAGACAAAATTACAGATCATTTGGCAGGTAAAACTATTTACATATACAGTTTGAATCTCAACTGTGTATTTTTCTGTTTGCCTGAAGTTTGGGTTTATTTGTATTTTACAGGGAAAAGGCCTTTTTTTATATAATGTATTTAAGGTGTAAAAGTTATCTTACTCATGGGACAATGCTGTACTTATCCAAGTCACAGGGTCTGTCTGCCTTCACCACAGTAGAGACCAGCAAAGTGCTGCTACTGTGCTGTCACAGATAATACAACTATGTAGCCAGCATGTCTGACACCAGGATTAGCAGGCCAGTGTCTCATCCAAAATACATCATTAACTGCTGTTTTGTAAAATGTTCTAAAAGCTAAATTTGAAACTATAATATCCTGGACTCATTCATTGCCGGCTAATTGTATACTACCAAATAAAGCTTTGAATGGTGGATTTCTTGAGGAAGCCAGTTTTCCAGGTCCTTTATTCACATTCATTTATTGTCATATCCCCTTCAGTACATTTTTGTGCATTTTTCTGCACAAAACAAGCTATTTTACTTGCATGGCTATTTCCATGCAACTCATCAATATTCAGCTAACAATCTGCAAACACCAGTTACTCCAGCTGCAACATATTAAAATATAAAATGTGTGAGCATTACCTATAGTTGTAAATGTCAGAGATGTTTTCTCTGAAGGTTTTGCATTATTTGGCTTTCAGAAACAGTTATAAATGTGTCACAGTGTACAAAAGGGCTAACTTGTTACTCTTTAGGTAAAAGCAAGAAGCTATTGAAAAAGAAATGTTGACTGACCTTCTATTTATTAACATTCTGTATCCAATTTTCTGAAAAATCATCACAATCTCTTCCATTGTTTGTCTGCTCTGCATGGGCAAATAGAGTGTCATTTGCACTGCTGTCAGCAAGACCGTCAAATAAAGGTGTTATAAGGGCTCAACACAAGCACATCAACAATAATATAATTTATTTAATTAAGATTTTATCTGAAAATTAATGTACATCTACATGCTTAGGCATGGGGTTCACCTGATCACTGTATCTGAATCCCCAAGTACTATTAAAGCAGAACTCCGGGCACAATGTTTATTAACCCTTGCAGTGGGGCTACCCCTGCACTGCAAGGTTTAACTGCTCCTTTTTGTCTAGGTTAGATTCACATGATCCTTGGAGCTGGCTGGCTGTCACAGCGCTACCTTATGCCTCTCTTCTCCTACTCTGCAGCAATTGTATGTCCCTTGGTGTCCTCACATCCTATGCACAGTGTATAGAATGTGATAACTCTGTGATAACTTAAACCGCTGCAGCAGGGGGGGAGCGAGGCAGAAGGGAGGATTGCAAGGGTAGCCCCACACTGCAAGGGTTAATAAAAATTGTGCCCAAAGTCTTGTTTTAATAGTCAGTCTTATACTTACACTCAGAATTGCACAGTGAAGTAATTATAATTCCTTCCAATGCCTTCCAAGTGATTGGACATTAAGGGCAGTTAACACTGTATGTAAATATATTAATTCACAAACTTTGTGGCATTCTTTCAAAATTAGTATTGGAAACCATTCTGGTTGAGGCTAATGCCAGATACTTGAAATGTAACTGTAGTCTAACTCATGACAACACACTGTAAGACCGTTTATCAGTGATGTCAGAGGATGATTATGACATATAACTGCAGAAGAATGAATCAAAAATGAATGAACACTTCAAGAACAAGTATGATTTCTCCCATTTCCTTATAAATTCTGTTGTCTTCATTCACACTGTATATAAACCTGGACTTTAGTACCTCTAATATTTAAAAGACAGGTTAATTTTAAAATAAAAACTCCCTGGCCCCCTAACCTATTCTAAGATATCCAAGTGCATAGTCTGATGGCAGCAGGTTCCTGCTGAGCTTACAGACGTTGTCGAGGCTTGCACAGTAGTTTCCCATACACTTGAATGGGTCAAACCCATAACACTGGATGAAGGCACCATTTGTCACATACATTTTAAATATTGCATGCTAAAATGTTGTATTCTCATGTTTATCTATCAGCTGGAACATTAGGCTCCTTTTCAAATTTTATTTATGGTTGTGTACTTTACAGACCTCAATAGCTCAAGCTACAATTTACACACAGGTGAATAATTCAGGGCAGTTACTCATAGCTTATGTTGCGTGCAATGTTACCCCATAGAAAATAAATAAGCCCATGCAATGCTTCAGATGTCAACCCTCACACATGCACAGCAGTGTGAATGGGCCAAAATAAAAATACTAAAATATAACTAACCCAATTGATTTGAATTAGTCAAGGCCCCATGTCTGGACCTTGGATCCACAGACACATATGGTAGGTTACACCAGGCAGGAAGTAAGGAAAAATCTGCAACAAGGATACAGATTGAAATAAAAATCTCACAGGGGTTGTTTGCCTTTCCCCAACTCCACTAAAGAAAAGCATTTTTATTTCTCTCTGTATTGCTTTTGGAGAGTTTCCCTCACTTCCTGTCTGGTAAAACATTGTCAGTGGGACAGCAAGTGAGGGTAAATCTCTCTAACAGATAGCAATGCAAAACAGGGGTTCTCAACCTTCCCCACTTTCTCCAAAGCTACTAAAGATGACTTTGGCTTGACATACACTTTAATTATGTAGCCTATATATAAATCTGGCCCTGTGTCCTCATGTATTTAACCACTTGCTGACCGGGGTGTTAAAACCCCTTCCTGTCCAAGCCATCTTTCAGTATTCAGCTCTGCAGTACTTTGACTGACATTTGTTCAGTCATGGAACCCTCTACTGAAATTAATTTTATACCATTTCTTTGCGGACAGATAGAGCTTTCTTTTGGTGGTATTTAATCACCACTGGGGTTTATTTTTTTTACTATATAATGAAAAAAGTTCAGAATATTTTGAATAAAAACATGTTTTCCCCACTTTTTGTTATAAAACATTTACCATTACCCAATTTTTTGGTAAAATATAAAAGTTAGGGTCACATCGGGTAAATAGACAACAAGCCCCCTATCTGATAGCTAATATACAATGGCAGGTCCTCTAAGACCCCTAATGTCACATTGGTACACCCCCCAAAGAAGCTAATGAAGTAGAGATTTGCTATAGCAGCCAGAGAAATGACAGCTAAAGACGGAAGTGATGTAATACACACCACTTCTGCCTTTAGAGAGAGAGGAGGAGAGATCAGCAGTGGGAGAATGCTAATCTCTCCTCCGTTCTCAGTATAGGCAGCTGCTGTGCCAGGCCCGGGCCGCAGGGGGGACAGCAGAGCCCGGGATTACCGGCAGCAGTGGCGGAGGAGGGGGGCACTGCAATGGAGCGGGGGGGGCACACACTGCATGTATTCATACAAGCGATCGGCCAGCTGTAGAGCTGGCCGAATGCTTGTATGCAACAGCCGGTGGCGGCTGCTTAGCTTCCCAGCAGGATTCTGCTCGCGCTCGCCTGCTAGTCTCCCCAATGGCACAGAGATGGCAAAAATCTTGGCAGGGGTTTTAACCATTCCCTTCTATATCCAAAATGAAAAAAAAATGCTGTAGATAAACCTTAATTACACTAGTTATGAGATTGTTATAAAGCCATATTTGGACATATGCATAATTTTGTTCAAGTTGATTTCAAGTGTTACATAGGTGACTGCTTAAGTACGCATGATTATCTTATTGCATTCATTTTCAGAAGAATTTTATATTTTATAAAGGCTTACATTATTTCATTTTTCTTTTAAGACAACACAGGATGGGTCAGCCCAACGCCACACCCCTACCCGCATTCCCATGGCAAAAGGTATGAAAGCAGTAAAGCCAATAATGGCAGTGCAAGGAGCAGGAAATCATTCAAAATTTGAGCCACGTGGCGAGAGTCAGTCTATGAAAATAGAATTGAAGAAGTCGCCAGCCAGCAGCTCTGCCCCTCTGGAAGGGGGGAAGGGCTGAGGCTAAGCCTCAGGGGTATGTGCAGGTGGCTCTGCTACCATGAAAAGCAGTTCCCTGTTTATCAAAGTTCTTAGATCTGTACTAATCAATGACTTCTTATTTGTTCACCTTTCTGCTGCTCAAAGGACCTGCAGGCTGGTGAGCCATTGACTTTCTGTCATTCTAGTTGTTAAAAAAAATAACAAAATTAAAAACATAACCATGTGTCTCAAAGTTAGATAACTAGAACTCTTTCTCTACTGTAAAACAATGGTTCACACATTCAGAAATCTCCAGAGTAGAAATCTCCATTTGGATCTTTGGGCTTTGCTACGTCAATTGGTACACCTAAAGTGCATGTAAAGGCAAAATGTTTTTGCTTCATTTTGGATAGAGTTAAGAAGGGTTAAACCCTTTGTCAAGTTTTTTATTGTGGCCTGTGTCATTGCTGGTAAGAATAACTACTCTGTTTGTACTGGTTTTCAATCTCACAGAGAGAAGGGGAGATTCTACATACAGAGCATAAGAGCAAGAGGTGAGGAGAAATGTTTCCAAGGGGACAACTGTTCTGATGACAACTGTCAAAGATGAGAATTTCCCCACGTTGGGGAGTTTTCTCTTAGATCCTGTCTTGGAGGCACACTCCAAGACTGGACATGAAGGAAACATCTCTAGCAGGACACAGGCTGTAAAAAAAATACCCCCATAGTGGTTGTAACCCTTCTAACTATCTAAACCTAAGAAAAAAAAAAAGAATTGCCCTTACATACACTTTCAATGGCTATACCATATCATTGCTGGCACAGACTAAATAAATTTGGTGACCCCGCATTTACAAAATTCATATTTATTACCAAAACATCAAAGGGTGCCTGTCAACTACACACAGCACATTAAACCTATTTCTGAACAGAAACCTTATACAATGAAACATGTTATTTTACATCTGTAGGCAACTTGTTGCATGCATATGGAACTGATATTACGTAGGCAAATAGAGTGTAATGTGCTGATTATTTGAAGTTGCACCAAGCATGCCTTAATATATTTAGAACTTTGCTTAGAATCGCCAGAGAGTAGCTTGCTACTCCCACTTGCCTCTTATTGGTTACTTGCACAAAAGAGTTGTAGCTAAAGGCCATGTAATCCACTACTTTAAAGCAAGGATTTGATGTTTTACAGTATAGAAATTCTATAGAATATGGATATCTAGTACAGCATGTGTTGACCTGCATGCCAGGTGCTATGAAAAGGAATATGGAATTCTCATGTGGTATGCATATCCCTGTGTGTTGCATTGATTTCTAGCTACATGTGATTTGCATGATTATTATAGCGACATTCAGTTTACTTTCCACAAACTTATGAAATGCTGCCCTCTTCTGATATACTGAGTTTTGATAAACGAAACAATTTGCAAACAGTTTCTGTTCCATAAATTTTAAATTATTACATTCGCAAATGTTAATATTCCTTTGTTAATAAGTAAGGAATATACTTCTTACTTATGAAGTGCTACAAAAGGAAAACTAAATGACAGTTTTTATGTATATATTATTCTCTTTCCACTTCATGTTTTGGAAAGTAAACTAATTCAAAATTACAATTTTTTTGTCAAATTTACTCTTCTTTCCAAACAGGAATCCAATGATGACATGTTCGTGTCTAAAAGCCTACACTATTTAAATTGTATTGATCTAATTTCTTAATCTCTATATATTGACTAACTTTATCATCTTTTCTCTTTCAAAGTCTTTTATTTGTTTTTACAATTATCATCATAGACACCATCATCTTTTCTGTACCTTAAAACTCCCCTTTTAAAAGCGTAGGAGGAAGCAGCCAGGATACAAAGGCAAACTTGTGACCTTCTCTAAAGAATTAATAATTTATAGGGTTTTATTTATAATAAGAGATGTTTTGGTCCGTGAAATACACCATTGCAAAAGGATTTGTTATTTGTTCGATAATGGAAAACAACACTCAATAATACTGCCAGAAATCTGCCACTGCTGCATTCTTATCAGTTAACATTCTTACCAATTCTCAATGTGGACTGTAAAACACCTCCCCTCTATGATGAAATTAGAAGGGGGTTATCCTGTAATCATAACTAATTTCCTGTTCTAGGGTGACAACACTGCTCCTCCACAGGTGCAGTATGGTGAGGGTTGGCTCCCTAGGACAGGAAATGTATTAAAGGTAGGGTCACCGCATGAAAGTTAAGGGATATAAGCCTGAATGAAATGAAAAGGAATGTAGGCATCATATCTAAAGACTGGTATGCTGCAACAAATGTTGTGCTTCAGTTTAGATACACTTTTAGAGCTGTTGTGGATACTATATCTGCTATGGAATTACTTCTCCAATCTAACTATGCCATTTAGTTCCAATTGGCAAGATTAAATCCATAGGTGAATCGTGTGCTTCTGCCTCCAGCATGTATGTATGAGCCCTAAGCGTGCACTACCCTGGAAAAGAACTAGGACATTTTGATAACCTCTCTATAACCTGTGCAATTTCACTCTTAGCAGTTTTTTGTTTTCACAGCTCCAAAGTACTAGGGCCAAGGATATTTTAGATAAATGGCATTGGCAGGTGATCACTGCGTAATATTAGTGATCAATGGCTTTGGTTTAACCCTTTCCCACCCTATTCAACATTAAAACAAAGTTATGGTTGGAGTTGGGCTTCGAGGGTTGTTCACACTATGACTGTTAAGCTGTGTGTTTCTGCAAACCACCACACATGTATGGTGTAAACACAATATACAAGCCCTTGAATCAGTTGTCTGCAGTCTTGGTGTGACAAACTATATGAGCAACACCCCTGTGCAATGAGCTAATTGACAACAGCCATATATATACACTTATCTAGATCCACATGAGGCACAGCTGTCTCTTGGGGGTCTATTTATTAACCATTAGCAGAGCTATTTGCCCTGTGAATCTCTGTGATCATTTGTTCTGTGGGAATAGAGGCAAAAATTAATGTTCATAGTATATTTTCTCTTTAAGTCGAATTTAATATTTGGAAAATACCCCATTATGGTCACTAGATGGAGCTGAAGATCATAGAAAATAAATACTTATTCGACCTGAAAAGAAAACATACTGAGAACGTTAATGTTTGCCTCCATTCACGCATAACTAACGTTCACAGATTTGCAGTGTGAATTGTTTATAAATCAACTCTGTGTCTGTGATTTTTTATTGCACAGCACAGCAGAAAATATTAGACTTCTATATGTACACTAAGAACACACATTCTTCAAAAACAGAATCTAAATATTCACATTTAACCGTTGTTTCATTAGAAGTTTAAATAAGGCTTTTTTTTTCCTTTCCAGAGAGCATTGTTATCCATCAGCTACGCATGAACACTAGATGATGTATATGAGGGAACATGAATTGATGCACTTCTACTGAACCTCTTATGGATGTTTTCTGCGATGTTCATCAAGACCTTGATTACTGACTATGCTACTGACACGTCAAAGAAAATATCTGTCTTTTTTTATATTTGGGAAAAAATATCCTGAATCTTCAGAATTTTATGAAAAGTAATTTTTTAAGAAATTCTTTCTCGGCAAGAATTTTAACTTATTTTATATTTTTCCAGATTTTTTTTTCAAGTGGCTTTTCACCATTATTGTATTTTTCATATTAAAATGCCTTTGATAGTTGTCTACCAAAATAGAATGCTACAATCTGGAAGAATTATTTAAAGAAGCGCTTTTATATGTGCAGGTTAAAACAATGAAGGACTAAATGTGGTTCAAATAAAAAAAAAAAAAAATTCTAATTTAAGTGTGTGTAAGTAAGCAAATGTTTGGTGTTTGCGTGGGAATTTAATGATCCTTGATATATTTTATAGATTTCATATGAGAGGTAACATTGAAAGCTTCATTAACAACATTGTGCAACTGTGCTTTAAGCTATAGAAAATAGTTAAAAGGCATATTCCATCCAGAACAGATTTGTTTAATGTGTACACAACAGATATTTACTGTGACAGAGGTAGAGGTTTGTTCTGACCAGTGGCCACATGTTTTTTGGGCTTTAAACGTTTGAATATCTTGAATAAAATAAATAAGTGAATTTCCACGTGAAAAATTCTAATTTACCAAGTTGAACTTACAAAAATGTATGACAAGATGGTGAAAACTACCAACCCCTTAAATCTAGTGATTTAAACTTGAGCCTGTATGGTCTGCCAGTGGTAAGGGTTTTGTAATTTATTTTCAGCCTTTAGCATTTAAAATTTTTTAGTTCTGGATATAGAGGAGAGAAGTTATAACACCTGAAAGAAAATCCCAATTTTTGGGGTGTCACCAGAACAGGAATAGATCTTCTCACTTAATGTTAACTTAAGGTATTAAACAGCAAGTTAATGTGAAATCTCCGCAATGGCAAAAAAAAAGTGATGGGTTTCCCTCCTTACTCTATACAAAACTATAAAAATAAGTTTTGGCTTCACTTCTTCTGTAATGTATATAATGTGTTTACATTAAAAATTGCAAGCAGCCAAAACTTTTACTTAAAAGTATAAGCCCACCAGCACTAAACATGACCTGTTGTAGGCTTGTAATAAAAGGAAACCATGACTATGGAACACAACAGCCATATTTGCTAACAAATCCAAACTTTGTTACGCTTGGTGCAGCAATGCTGCTTATTTCTTGGCACCACTGCTGATTAAATACTGTTGTGGGCCGAAAAATGAAGGCTGTATATCAGATACCATGCTTTCTTATTAACGCTGACCTCCAGGCAAGCAGCTGACTACAAATGTTTGATACATGCATAGTAGCGGGTCAACCGATATGAAAACCCCATCAGACAATTTTGTCAGAACCTCAGCCTTCTCTGTATTGGCAGCCAAGCTTGGTGAAGAACACACCCCCAGCCTCCTTATTGGATGATGAAGGAGCAGCAACACACCGATGAAGTGATTTATGTGTTCTCTCCTTCAGTGCGCACGTTCACTGTCAACACATGTGAACTGCAGTAGAGCCTCATTGGTTCTTAATGCTGCCGCTCTCTCACCTGGTCTAAGTTATAAGTACCGATTTAGGTACTTATGCTCGTTCAAACATAAAATACTTACTGTATATATTTTAGTGAATGTGTAAATGAATTATGTTTTTGAAATATCTGCCTGAAGTTCAGTATTTAAAACTAGGTGCTCACAGGACCCTACACCAATAAAATATATTTTCATATAGCCATCCTAGTTCATGCCGGAATTGTCAGACCCTACATGCTGTTCTTTATTATAGCAGCTACAGCTCATTGTTGTTGGGAGCACATACAGCCAAAATTCCTATGATAGTTGTAGTAGTTAGAGACTCATAGCCACTTCTGTACCTAGGAGATGTATTGCTTCAGAGTGTTTGTGGCTTTCAATTTTAAACCATGTTTTATATAATTAAAGAATGATAGTGTGGTGTGTGCGTGTGTGTGTGTACATATGAAGACAGTATATAGTTCTACTTGCACAAGTGTATATGAATAACTATCTAAAACTGATGGAATTCTTCTAGTATATCCTGGACCATGAGGCTGTTTTTTAATACTCTCTTCTGCTATCACAACACCTTCATACTGAAAGTTCATAAAACAGACCATTAAATGTTGGGTGAGCAAAGCATGCTGACCCCTCATATTTCCAGGTAAGTCACTTTGTGGTCTAGAATCTGCTGGAATTTTATTTAAATATGGCAATTCATTTTAAAGGGCTAGTTCACCTTTGTATTAAAAATAAAAAGGTAAACTGACTCACAACACCCTCATCGTCATCTCACCTCCCCCAGGTCCTCACTGCACTTAGCTGCAAAGATGACCATCCCCTGCTGCCAACACCAGCCTGTATAACAGTCCTGACACTTGAACACTTCACTACAAAGCTGTGTGGCACCATAATGCTTGCATTGGTGAGCGGTCACTGGTTAGAGTGGCCAATGAAATTTTTTTTTAACTATTTTTGGTTTTCTGCCCCAGCAACCCCATCAATCAGTGTCGGCCCTCTCAGGATGTAAGAGGGCCACAAACTGAAATAAAAATCCAACAGAAGTTCAACCTGGCCCCTGGAGTTGGGCTTTAAATATGTTAAAGTATACAGTATGGGGGGGATTTATCAAAACAGGAGCAGACAAAATCTGGAGCAGTTGCCCATGGCAATACGTTGTAAGGGCCCATGTTGACAGGCTTTTGTTAGCTTCAAAAGAGGTTTGTATTGCCATTCAAATCTACTGGAAAGCAAAACTGCTTGAAGCAGGTCAACCGGAGATCAGTAGGTAGACAACTGCAGGTCAAATGTACCTGTCATTAAATTCTGAATGATCTCAGACGTATACCATTGACACAAGCCTAAAGCCTGTTCACACAGGCATAATTACTATCGACAAATGTCACCACACTGTTGTATCCTCAATCCAAACTCTACTTGCGGGGCAACCCTCTCAACCTCAACCAGGGGGGTCTTAAAGCACATATGAAAAACAAAACAGGCACCTTTTTCTGTTTTCTGTTGACAGATATATATCTGAATGTTTTGTTAGTAGAGGAAGATAATAAACATGTATGTTAATTGTGATTATATTTTATAAACTGAGGTAAAGTAAAGGTATGTATGAAACATAAAAAAGCCAAAGGTATGTGCCTGGTGTTTACTAATGAAAGCAGGGTAAAAAGTGCACTATTGTATTGCCACTATGCAATTAAGAAAAGCATGTACAAACGTGTTGTTGTGAGTTTTTGAAAAAGGCTTCAGACGTTTATATGGAGCAGATCTTCAATCACAAATGTCTAAACTGAGCAGATATATAATCAAAGATGTCTAAATATAGTAGCTCTTGGGCGGCAGATGATTAAATTGAGCACCTCGTGGATGTCAGATTTCTAAATAGAGCCAATACTGAATCACAGGTGTGTAGATAGGGAATACTCTGAAATGTAGATGTGTAAATAACTCTCTGCTACAGGCAATCAATATGGTTGTAGAGAAAATTGAAACTCACCTATTCTGGTGGCTCTGTAGGCAGATTATTAGAAACCAATACACATGTACAGCCTGTAGACATCTTAATTCTCTGTTTCTAATTGTTGTTTAAGGCCTTCTATCTATAATAAACTGCCCTCTGTAAATGTTGCTGATTTTGGATTTGTTCATGTATTTACCATCTGTACATATAAACCATCTGTAATTGTGCAGTCTTATATGTATTTGATGTGTTCTTATTTGCAGTGACAAGCTTTGCAAACACATCATTGTGAATATGCCGTAGTCAAAACACAAATGTGTTTAGAATCTGGTTACAAAAGGTGAGCAGACAAGTGAAATGCAGGTTTCTAGTCTCTGGAAAAATGTCCCTGAAAATAAATCCATTTCAACAAAAGGCTTCAGGTGTACAGTGCGTTTTAATGTGCCCTTGTATTACAAGGATACAAAAGGGCTGACATATGAAAAGCAGAGAAGGATATCTGTCTGTGTTGTCTGGAATAGCTGCTTGCTTACATATCCTACCTACACCAGAGAACAAACCTCTGACAACTACACATTTTCTTACCTCTAAATTTCATAAATGACCTCGATAACATTTCTGTATCTAAGCCTTAAGCTGGCCATACACCTATAGATTATCTGCAGATTTTCTATGGTCGGATGGAAAAGGTGCAACAGATTCCTCCATCTACGCTAAACCCCTTTAGGTTGGCCATACACTGTTTGAATTTTGTCCGAGTCCTGTTTCCAAAGTTCAAGCTGAGTGTGGCCGTGCCGACACCCCTCTGCACCGATACCAGTATTTCGGTATCGAGTACGAGTAGCGATATTTTTTTTTCAGTACTCGCCAGTAACGAATACCGATACCAGAAGTTCCATTAAGGAAGCCAGGCGGCGTGTAATGACTCGCCACCTGGCTTCCTGATTAGCCGGGCGGCGTGTAAAGACTCGCCACGCGGCTTCTCGATTAGCAGGGAAGCCGTCTCCATGCTTCTCGTCACTAGGTGATGAGAAAGCATAGAGCCGACTTTCTGGTGCGGTTTACTGATTGGCCTGGGAAGCCAGCTCCATGCTCCCTCATCATGAGGTGATGGGTACTCCGCCAACTGTGGGCACCAGCTGTTAGAATACAATAGCCAGCAAGGGAGTCTGCTTAATTCATGCTACCTACCTTGGATGGGGATATATATATATATATATATATAGTCAGACATTTCATTTGTAATACAGTAAGCTCTGAAGAACGGGGTTTAACCCCAGAAATGCACATTAGCTAAGGCCCACCATCACATGCTGAAGGGTCTCTTCATCTTTTTTGTTTGGTAATTGGGCTATTGATTATGGTATTGTTTGCTGATGTTATCTGGACTGAACATGTGAGTAGAATGGAAGTCTGATTTATACACTCTGATTTAATATATGGTATCACACGAGGAGAATGCACTGTTTCTTTTATCTCTTTTCTTGTTGACAAAAACCTCATTTTAACAGTTTGGCAATCAGGCAGAGGAGGAGGCAGCAGAGGAGTCAAAAGATGGAGTCGGTGAGGAGGAAGAGGAAGGGGCGAGGAGGCAAAAGAGGCAGAGGAATCGGAGCAGCAGGAAGGGGCCGGGCGAGGCTGGGGCGAAGTTGGATCAGGAAGGGGCGGGACCAGGGTGCCGTAGCAAGCCGGGTCCAGAGGTGGAGGAGGCCGGGGATTCTGCACAGCCCACCTGAGATTCTCGGGTGGGCTGTGCAGGATCTGTGGTGTGGTCTATGGACGGCGGAGCTCACAGATGCTGCACCAGTGTGCAGGGTATCAGGGGTGTGTGCATGATCTGTTGTGGGCTCTGTAGGGTCTCAGGGACTTTGCAGGATCTGTGGTGGGCTCTATGGCAGAGCCCACCACAGATCCTGCACAGCCCCCCTGAGATCC